GSMMCTACAACCCTCCCACACCCCACCASRGCAGAGCTTCCCTGCAGTCTCTCTCTTCTCAGCTGCCCAAGGCTGTGGTTTTCCTGGGAGCAGCAGAGGGATACAATCCTGGCACACAGCACCAGGTGACCTCAGTAGAACCATGAGCCATCAGTATCSAAGTAATTCTCTGAAACACTTTGAAAAAAAATGTAGCTGCAGTCAGATGTGGGAGACTCCACATGTGAAACCAAACCAAGCCCAAGAAAACCCTGTCTGAAAAAGCCAAACACAGCCAAATTCGGGCCTGACCAAGCAGGACCAGCACTGCAGTGACAGCAAAAGGACCCCGAGGGAGCGGTGCTGGCTGGACTGGGCAGCTCCAGCTCAGTGTCACTAATGCCTGTAAAATTATGAGCAACAGAGAGCAGCACTGGAAMAACTGGACTGCTAAAAAAGTCAGCATTTCTGTGATAAGCAACAGTGACAAAAAAAGCACAGCACCAGCATGATCACCCCCATGGAAGTGTAAAATAGTATTTCCAGGGCGCCTCTTAGCAAGGCCTGGAGTRTAAGTTTTCCCTAGGAGAGAACAAAGCCCCATTCCCTCACTGCCAAACCGAGCTTGCTTAGTATGTATCAATTTCACCTTTCCATTAAAGAAAAAAAAATTGTGCCAAAATAAGCATATAGAGCTGTTTTAAAAAAGAGACTTAGCAACTTCTTAAATAACTAGGAATAAAATTCAACATTTAATAAGACATTGAACTTCTCAAGCAGTCAGACATGGAATAATGAGACTCAACAATGTGGAAAAATCCCATTAATACATCTTTCAAGATACTTTGCTTTTCCAAGTAAATCAAATAAAAAACCTCCTAAAACCTGACCATGAACACAAAGCTATTGAACAAAACAGACATTTACTCTGATTATTTTTCCTAGGTTGTATGAAAATACATCTAACATATTCAACTGAAAATTGTTTCCATCCTTGCTCATGTGATAAAAGAACAACAAATYCCGAAATTGGCTGTCATGTATCAGCTTTTTGCTGGAAAAGGAAAGACATTTTGCTACTTTGATGGGCAAGACACAAAGAACATCATTTAAGGCCACATAATATGCCACAGTTAGACGTTTTTTAGATTAATTTATAACAGAAAATCTTTTAAGTTGCTGAATGCTAAAAAATATCGAGTTGCATCATGAGAAAGCTCAAGTTTTAAGGATTGTTTTACCTTGTATTTTAACAGTGGGAGAAGGAAAACAATGTCAAAACTTTTATCTTCTTTTTTAAACAGAACTTTAGCCTGTTTTCTCAGGATGCAGAGTAAGGTACAGAAGCCTTCATTAAAATGTACCTAAACCCCACCTGTCCTGGTACAGAACCCAAAATTCTCCCAGRTCACCACCTGAGTGCCTGAGCTGAGCTCGCAGGGTTACATGGCCAGGGAGAATACAATCCACATTTCCTTCCAAGATCAGTCTAAAGGATGTGCCCAGCAGAATGAATGAATTCTTAGGAACTCACAAGTGAACTCCTGGTCTGCAGTCTCAGTGATGCCAAACTCCGTGGGCCCAGAGAGTGGAGGAGAAAAGAGCAGGGAGAGGTAGAAGGAAGCAGAAGGTCAAACAGCCCCCGGCTCAGATCTGTTTGTGTGAATATAAAGAGGCTYTGTGTCCCCAAGTCTTTATGTCCCCAGACATAAAGGGGTGGCTGTCCTGCGTCCTAAATGTGCTTGTGAGCCCCCAGAGCTCCGTGCCCCATCCCAAACGGGGATGTTACTGCAGCATTGCCTGTCAGTAACTGAGACAGAGGCTTCTGGAAGTGAGGATCTGCCTCTTAGGAACTGGGACATCACTGTTGCAGAGTGCCAGAGCTGTTACACCTACACATGAAGTGGAAAAAGCAACAAAACAACTAAAAAAAATACAAAATTATAAAAGCAATGGAATGTAAAATTTTATAATAACTTACTTAAAGGGATTCTTACAAAGCCTTCCTTACATGGTATARTATTCAAAGAATGGTCCCAATGACATCAAATTCCTTCATTTTGTTTTAAAGCAATGAGGAAAGTATTCTGCTTTACTACTTGACCTAGTTTTCCTTCCCTCAAAACCCAATATTAGAGAAACACCCATAATACCATTTTTTGGTTTTGATTTTAGGCATAGGACTGCTCTTCAGTCCCATGGCAGAGAGAAAAGTTTCCCTCAAAATCAATTAAGGATTCTTGAATTTTAGCACAAGGCTTGGCATACCATTTAAAAAAACAAAAACATGTAACACTTCTCCTGATTTTGAACTGTGCTATTTCTTCAAAATTATTTGGAAAAAATATAAACCTTCCAACAGTGTTTATAAAATTGTTTCAAAATCCAAAGCATTTTGGTCACAAAACAGAATACAAAGAGTTCAACATAGGGCAATGCAACATTTAAAACCTCTTTCAATTAATAGCTTCTAATAAAACCGAAGTTTCTATGTGCTGGGAATAAATGGGGATTTTTGTAATTTCAAAAACGAAATCAAATCCTTGGGAAAACCCCATACGTTTCCATGATACAACAAGGCTTCATTTTCAAAAGGGCTACATRGAGTTTCTGCACTATTAAGGGTAAACTAAGCTAGAACATACACAAATGGCTAAATGGACATGGAGGTGCACGTGGTGTTTACGGAGGGTGGGTCACAACGGCACAACTCAAAATGTGCTTGCAAYGCTGCCTAATCACACGCCAAGGACATGAACTGGGAAGAAAACTGRCAAAGACATTCTTCTTTACTGTTTTTTCCTAGTTCTAATATAATTTCCATCAATCCTAAGTCTTGTATATTCATCTCACTGCAAGCTTCTGAAAACCTATTGCTAATGGGAGCAAGGAATTCAAAACAGCTTTGCTGACACAACACAATGGTGACAGCATAGTCCAGAGCAGAGCTCCTAAAATGTAACAAAAAAATTCAGTATGTCAAGTCAAGAAGTCAGTTTTATAYAAACTTTATCAAAAGGAACAGTCAGGATAAATTTCACATCAAAATTCTTAYGTGCCTCTTCAAAAATCTATTTCACTTTTACTTAATTGTTTTAAGTTTCACTTTCTGTTTTATTCATGGGCRTGGCTTTGCTCCTTGTTGGGCATTTCTTGCATTGCCATACAATTTCAATGCTTGGACTCCAAGCACTTCAAATCAAAATTTTCCTCTACTTGACGTTATGGAACAAAAAAAACCAAGTAATTTTTTCCAAATAATAACTTTTGTAAGATTTGTTTGTATTAAGACACAAAAATCCTAGAGTATTGGGCCCAGATTGCAAGACAATATCCCTTTAAGTCCAGACTTACACAGCTCTGCAAGACTAAGTCACTTCAAGTTTGCTGGGATGAAATACAGGAAAAAACAGTACAGAAGAAAATCTCTCACGAAGTARGATTCCCCCTCTCTGGTACAGGGCGTGCCTTTGCCACCGCGCACCACAATTCTGGGTGGAAGGATATTAAGGATCATGATTGTTTCAGAATAATTTTCGAAGAGCTCAAACCAATTGCTGTGTGYGTGGTTGTAGTGAGAGACGCACCTGGGTCATGACTGGCATTCAAGCACTTGCTCAAAAACACACAAGGCAAGCAAATCTCATTGGGACCACAGACCAAGCCATTTCTTACTCAAAAGGACTTGAGAACTAACAACTTCTTTCAAGGATATACTATTTCAAACATCTGTTGGTTGACAAATACTATCTCAAAAAACTATGTTTACGCCTACCTGGTTTGATTTTAACCTACCTCCAACCTGCAAGTATTTTGGAGGGAACATTTTACATTCGTAACAATTCAAGTGTAACTGTAATGCTGAGTAATAAGTTTGGTTTGTCCTGAAGTTTGCTGAACTATGCAGTTCGTTATCAGTGCAGAAGCAGCAGAAGACTGCTGTGGTTGGCTCAGTGGATTTATAAAAACAAAACAAAAAATCCCACCCTCCCCCCCCATTGTAACCTTTACAGAATATATGTAAAATTGTGTCCTTCCCTGGTCATATTCACAACTTATCTACAAGATAGTGTTAGCAGTAGAAACTGCAGTCCATGACTATTTGCATTCAGCTCTCATCCATCTGTTCCTCTTTCTCCTAGGCTTCAACTTGTTCAGTTTTTTGCGGGGTTTCTCAGTCTTCCGAGTTTCAACAGAATCCACCCCGAGAACATGTTCAGAGCAGCATAACTGTCCATTCAACATAGAATTTAGTACTGTCCTGTCTTGGTGCTCCTTGCAGAAAGAGTTTGGGCAGAAGTGGCAGAAAGAAACAGAAGGTTTGCCACAAACATCACAGTGGTGCCAAGGACACTCCCACTTCCCTGCAATCAAAACCAAAGAGTCCATTAGTGGGGAGTAAAACATGGCATCATCTCTTAAAGAAGTTTTGTGTCTCAGCAGCTGAACAAGGAACAACTTTCCTGACAAAGCAAATGACAGCAACTACCGGGGCTGATCTCAATACTCAAAATGCTACATTATACTTCTAAAGCTCAGCTGGCAGCTGCAAGGAGCAGACTTGACACACTCTCATTAAAACACAGCAGTCAGCTCCAGCCAGAAGAAATGACTCACGCTTTATTCAGTAGCATTTTACAGAACTCACAGGCTGGTAGAGCATCCAAACATCCGGTCAGCTGCTGCCTACTCTTACAGCACTCACCTGTCTGTTAATTTTGCTTGGGAATGGTTGGTGTGTTTCCCCTACAGCTGCTCTTTCACCCCACCATACTTTCCAGTCCTTATTTTACTTGTTTCTGGATAAGAGGTTTGGCCTGCTTTCCTTTTTCATATCCCACCTGACATGGCTGAACCATACCTGGAACCAGGCAACTCCTGTGATACCTGGAACTGCTACCTGATGTCTGCTGCTCTTAATTCTACTACTTGCCTTCTTTCAGAAGCTGCTGCTGCTCTTCTGGCTTGAACTCAAAGGGCTTCATGCATCTCTCAGACAGAATCAACTTTCCTGTGTCAGGGTCACAGTGCTCCTACCAGGTGATGTACTCAATTACCTACATTTGTAAAACAAATGGCTCATTTCGCCAGAGAGGCAGGAGGAGGCCATAATTTTGTCCTCAAATCCAAGAGGAGCTGCTCCCACACAATGCATGAACAAAGTTCTTGCCATACACACCCAGTGCTTTCAAGATGACACTCTACAAGGTTYCAGTGCAATAAATGAGGTACCTGCACAAGTTATTTATACAAGTGTAAGACATAGGYTGACTCACCAAAAGGACGTTTCACCAAACCAAGACAGGAGAGATGATAAGCTTTAGTACAAGACTTCCTGTCACACAATACCAGCTGGCCTCCATCACCACAACGGAAACAATCATCTTCAGATTCTTTCTTCCCTTCATTTTTCGTTTTGCGTTTCCGTGTCCTTTTTTTGGTCTTCTTGCCTTTTTCTTCTGAGGCATTAGTGGAAGAATTCTAAGAGTAAGATGCAAATCTGTAAATGCCAGTTTTGTAAAGGAAAAACATTACACAATCCTAGCCAAGYTGTTGGCACACCTGGCAGACCATGCACACAGCCAAAAACTTGGGGCAGACCTGTCCAGTGTCTCACTGTAYTGACCTGTGCTGACAGAAAACCTACACTGACCTTTGAGAAAAGTCATCCTGAAACCAGATCTTTTCCCTGAAGTACCTTCCTACTGTAAACCCCCTTAATTTCCTTGTCACTGACAGAGGGTCTTCCAATTTCCAGTCAAATCTACTCGTGGCTAACTTACCCTCATTATGTGTTTGCACCACCAATCACTTCAATATCCATTTTCCTCTTCCAGTTGGGAATACTCATGCTGAAATTACTAAAACGTGCCCCCATTTCACCCTTTGAGGAACAGACAGCAGAACTTCAGGAACTGTAGCTAATGATAGAAAGAATATACCAAACCTTACCCCTATTTCAATTTGACATTCTGCTGCTTGCACTTCAACTCTCCTTCACCAAATCATATACAATTTTCAATGATTTTTCAATGTCCCTCCCATCAATCCCTTCCTCTCACCTTGTAATCATTACCTACTTTATTTAAAATTCAAAACTCACATTCCTTATTCTTTAGCTCAACTTTTTTTTTTTTTTTTTTTTTTTAAGTAATCTTAACAAAATCATCATACTCTAAGGTTTAGATGGGGGAAATATACACTAGAATGTCAGAATAATCTCACTGACTACAGTCAGGCACATTCCTAGTCAGTTTGAAGCTTCTGCATCCCTTCCCCTGACAAGACTGTCAAAATCTCTTGATTTATTACTTGCCTTTGGTCTGTCTCCAAGAAATCCACTGCAGTTTGGGGCACCACATTTGCAGACTGTTTTTTCATTCCCCAGACAGTCAAGGTTGTAATTAAAAGTCAGCTCCGTCCCTGAGTGTRAAAAGGACAAGGTAACAAATTCTATCAAAATTATTACAAACAAATAYAGCTTTTGCTCTCTGTTTGCTGATTTGGGACTTGCTTGTTGATGTATTGTTATAGGATTTCCCCCCTCTTTACTGTTCATAAGCACTGACAATGATTAACTAGATGTCCAAACAGCATGATGTCTCATGCAATTATATTCTAAAATGCATTGGTTTGTCTTCACAAAACTGTGCTTGTGTCTGGTCTACACCATCTATCTATCCATCCATCCAGCTAAATATTGCTATAGATAGTGTATAGATAGCTATAGATAGTGTATAGATAGCTACAGATAGTGTATAATATAGGCTGTATGTGTGTGAACATGCGTGTATACAAGCCAGAACATACTTTCAAACAGCCTCCTACATCCCCTCCTTAAGCTTATGATATTCATGGAAAAGATCTGAGATTTCCAAAACAAAAACTTACTAAGGCTATTTACCCTAGAAACAAGCAACAAAAAGCAGCCATGGGACTCACAACTAAGAAACATTAAAGTAAAAAKCAGATCATAAAGCTTCTCTTCTGTGTGTAGAGCTCTCTACAAAAATATCTGCGCTGAATCCATTAAACCATCACTGTCCCACGGATAACTGCACAAATGGTTTAACTCAGGGAATGAAACCAAAGCCAAGCCAAGCYGATGTACCTGCAGGAATGTCACACACAGCAAAGAGCCCGACCCGAGTGTCTCCATTCACTGTCCACTTTAGAGTTTCACAATTTGGTTGGCAGCTGTGATTCATAAACCGCGAATAGTTTCCTTTGGGGCCAGCATCAATAATACGRTCCTGGAGAGCAAACCAACAACAGGATGAGTTTTTTCTCTCCCCCCTCACAAAAGAGAACAAAAACCATCCATAACTGATCTAAGCAGTTGCATTCAGAACAGACATGGTGTTGGTCTCCAGGGCACACAAGCCAGCTGATGGCATATGTWGTATTGGAAACTGTAGTGTCCCACATGGCCTGGAATGTGACACTCCCAAAGCAATACTCGTGCTCTAGCTCACATTTTCCCAGCACCCATCGCAGCCACTCGGCAGGATAAGTGTTCTYGTGAGCAGTGTGGTGGGTATGTTAAGGAACTCTCTCCCCCAGGAAGCCTCAAAACTCAAGACTCAGTCCCTTTACCATTTACTGTGTATTCATGAAGCTGTGAGGCATTTACAAATACTGTGCTTTATGGCATTTACCAAGTCACGCATGATTACTTCCAGAGATTACCAGTTTCTCACCAGAATTCTTTCCCCAAATCAGCCTAGTTTACACAAAAACAAGCTCTTGTKAAGCCAAAAACATCCCATCCCTACACACAATTGCTTTTTAATTTCTATTTCCACTAAATATACCAGACGTTAACAAAATTAAGTCTTGAAATTGCCAGAACTGTTTCTTTGCAGAACTGCTAGACAAGGTTTTGCTTATTTATGAAATATTATTACAGTTTCTTTCTAACTCACTTTTATAATGCACATGTATGACTGTCATGCCTATGTGCACACACTTCACTGCGTGGCCAGCTCAGCCTCGTGACGGCACCAGCAGTTTTGGCAAGACAGACCCACAATGAGCATTCATTAATTACAGTAAGAGTCAAAGACATGGTTAGGTCAGATACTTAACACACTGAYATTGTATGTTAATCTAGCAGAGAAATAAGAAACTTCAAATGTTCAGAGAAATGTGGTTTCATCATTCTGTAACACCCAAAGCAGGAAATCCTCAGTTACAGGACTAATGAGAACAATAGCTGTGGAAATACAGAGCAGGAGTCTTGGGACAAGAAATGTTGTCTGGGACTGAAAAAAATGCAGGACTGGCAGCCAGCTCTTGTTTTCCTMCTAAGTAGCTGTTTGGGGACTGAAGCAATATAATACAGATAATCTCTAACTCCTCCTGTCCAGGTTCTTCACTTTCTCCCTCTCTTGAGGAACAAAATCCTCAGAGGTGTGCACAGAACCAAAGGTGCTGAATTATTTTGTGTTAATTAATCTGCCGCAATAATTTGCTGCGGACCAATTTGTGGAGGGCTGGCTAGCTACTAACACAGAGAGTGCTCTCAGAAAAGAGTTTCTACAAAAGCACAAGCCTTTGTTATAAACAAAGCAAGGGACAGATGGTTGCAAAAAAGATTAAATGCCCAGTATAGGAACACAGCCTCACAATTCTATTTCACATTCTTTCAAGTGAGAACTTTGTTTTCTGTTGTTGAAATTTTAGTCAAAGGATTGCTAATGGCAATTCCACTGTGTCTCTACTATTTCCCTAAACTTCATACTTCATTTTAACACTAGGCACATAGGTACTTTGTACTTACAGATACAGGTRAGTACTGTACTTCATTTCAAGCAACAAAGCACGACCTACAGACCTCAACATATAATTTATTATGTAACACAGAACTAAGGACATTAATTATGTACATATAGAAAGGAGAGAGAAGGCACAGAAGATGCAACACTGTGAATACATGGAACTGTGTAACATCAAAGGTAGCAGAGTGCYCAACCAAGGTGATCAACAGAAGATCAAAGTAAGGTTATAAGTAAGTAATGTCAAAAAATATCAAATATCCTACCTTATCAATAGTAAGCATATAGAAGTGGGTAATGTCGTTTTCATGTGCATATTTGATTCTTGCCATACATTCCTCTTCATCAATCAGCTCTCCCACATACTCATTCACAAACTCCCCCTGAAAGACATGAAGTCTCACTAGTGAAGTATATCCCAAACCCACAAACAGCATCGCAGGTCGCCGATTGTCAGCTGGGTGAGAACAATTCCTACCTTTTTAATGTCCCTCTTGGCAACCAAACCCCACCCTTTGCCATCAGTTTTGATGATCTTTGTCTCAGGGTACTGACGTTTGGTAAAGCACTGGTTCTGGCACCGCTCTCCCGCTGGACAAACTTGTGGGTGGCACTCGTACATCAGCATCCGATTGAGGCACTCGGAATCAAAGCCACAAGGGTTTTCATCCGTGGGTTTGCAGTTGCACTTGGGAATCTCAGATATGTCAGCAGTGTATATCTGCACTTTACCACAAGGTTTATTCACCTGAAAAATACATTCAAATCATTCAAATATGACTTTTGATTTTGTTGTAAGAGGTATTAARGTGGTTACTAATTTGGTTTTGCAACACCACATGTTCCAATGAAAGCAAAACTTCACCATCTCATKACTGTAAAAGCAGTTACCATCACTACAGCCTCACCCCATTTCAATGCTCGSATCAAACCTTTGAATACCCAGTTGTCATTTCCTCAAACTTTACCTTAATGTGTTTGTATGGTGGAGGTTTACGTTCATTCTCCTGGGTTTCTTTGGCTTCTCGCTGTAGCTTTATTTCTCGAAATCGAGCTTCAGCCTCTTGCAAAGCTGAAAAAGATTGCAACATCAACAGAAATGCCAAAAAGAGGATTRCTGTCCCCAAACTGACTTGCTCATTCCCATGTGTGTTAAAACAAAGMATTATCTACTTCCTAGTCCCATCATTCAATTTTTTTGCAAACAATGTTTCTGGAGTGCTAATGCTCTTACAAATTCTACTCTTTTAGTTTCCCAATTACACAATTTTTTTTTCTTTCCATAAAGTAAAAATCATCAGAAATAATTGCAGTTAGATCTCAGTCTTTTAAAAGACTTGAAAATAATGTTTTCATTCAAAGACAGCAATGGTGATTCCTGCACAGGACACCACAAACTTCTTTAATATTGTAAAACAAATGTTCCAAACCAGACCCAAGGCTACGTGAAGAAAGCAAAGCATGCATATCCCAGGATTATTTTTGTTTGCTTTAGCTATGTACCATTTTTGAAGACTTTTCCAATTCCTTTGATCCCTTGGTATCTACTCCCTCTGTCTCCCTCCATGTAAGGGAACACCCGTGCTTGGTGCGTCCAATAGTAATCCTTAGAACCAAAGAAAAACACAGGAAATTCTCCGATTTCATGCTTCATTTTCTGGATATTTGGGGGAACGTTTTTCGGATGGCAAACTTCTGCAGGCCACCATCTAGCACAGAAGTACAAATAAAAAAATACAGCATTTTAGTCAAGCTCTTTCTGCAAGAGACAGTTTAACAAAATCACTTGAAACAGCAATAACTGGTTATTATTTCTAAAATCCATGTGGATTGAAAATCCTTTCCTCCCCTCTCTCAGTAGGGAGTGAGTGAAGACCAGAAAAGGGAAGTCTGACACTCAGACCTGTGGGACTTCACCTGCCTGCAAGGTAAAGCACACACATAGGACTCCTTGTGTCTGCACAGCAAAACCATCATCTTTACAAGGCCTGCAATCACTGTAGTTGTCAAAGATCAAGAGTTGGTTGATAACACCTATTAATTTAAAGGATAACCCCCATTCACCTCTATCTCACTCAAATCTCATCCAAGTGTGAAATACCAACAACCTGAGTGACTGATATCCCAGCCTACAAGTGAGTAATTTAGCCAATTACCAATTATACCAATTTATTGGAAGAGATCCCTGAAACAAAAGGGGTTGAAAGGTTGAAAGCTCATACACTGGAGGCAGAAGTCTCAAGGAGTCTTCTACAGGTAATGCCATGGCAAGAGCAACAGCAAAGCTGCAAGTCTTTGAACTTGARGCTTGCAGGGAGGTGAGGTCCCTAATTCAGAGAGGAGTGAGAAATCAGTGTGCAGCAAGGCTGGCCTACAGGAGCAACCAGTTGTACGATCCTTAGTTCAACATGCCAGTACTATAAAACAACACAAATTCCTTCATCAGACCTGTAATTTCCCAGTTTAACCCAAATAACATCCTGGAAATGGAGCTTCTTGCCCGCCCTGCAGTCATTGCAGTACCAGCTCCCATCTGGCATTTCGATGTTTAAGCAGTCAGGGTGAAAGGCGGCCGGGCACGACTCGCAGCACAGCAAACTTCCACCTGCAGAGACACAAAAAGAAGCAAAAAAGAAAAGGTTGGAAAACACCAAGATCAAAATAAAAAGTTTTACATTCTAGACAGGTTAAAAAGGATACACATGTGGTAGGTTCACTTAGAAAATAAGTGGTTAAAACATGCTGACCCTCAGCAACAARTACACACATCTCTTAGTTGTGTACAGCAGCCAGAAGGTCCTGTCTAATTTGAATGCCTGGCAGACTTGGGTTGGTAACACATAAAAAATAACAAGCAAGCTGGTGATAAAAATGCCAGAATAATGCACAAATTGTAATTACTGTGCTGTACTTTAATGACTACAATATGCTTAATATAGTTTTAATATATATTAACATTTCTCTGTATGAAAAATTTTAACCTCAACAGATTTGTCTTATGATTTTGGGATTTTTTTCCCCCCTTGGGGCAAAAGGAACAAAAGGAAGTTGTTAGTTTCTTCCACGAATTATCAAGTGGAAAGTTGGCTGCAGCTTAAAAGCTGCTATGCTGCATGTTAATTTGTTAACAAATCAGGTAAAGTTTCATTGCTACAAGTTTAATCAGCACTATGCGTTTTTGTGGTTCTCAATAAGGAACATATTTATCGTACAAGATAAAACAAAAGCCTTAATTAGTGGCACTCCCAGCAACAACTAATACTGATTCAATTTGCTGTCTGCTGCTAAACTAAAAGCAACTCTTAAAATATTTATGGTGTAATATTATATATTAGCAATAAAGAAATACAAAAAGCTTCAGTACATTGAACACAGGGGAAAGAACCGAGAAATACTCATTAAGTGTCTTTTGTAAAGAATTAAATCAGGCTTCTGGTTGCTGGATAAAGCCCAAGTAAAAACATTCTTTAATAAATTATTTCTGGAAAAAAAAAGGGTATTTAAAACCCTGAAACAGCATAAGCCAACCTGACATTATACCAAAACCTAACAAGGCCTAACTCAATATGCCACATTTCTAACGATTTTCCATTAAAAATTAAACAATTAAAAAAACAACACTTGAGCTGAAGAACGAAACATGTTGATGCCTCATTTCTGAAAGGAGTTCCCCACCCCCGTTTACCTTTGGAGCACACAAAGCACCAGCTGACATTGACATGGGCGTGGTGGCTCTTCCCCTTCATGGCAGTGAAGTGGTTGGTGCACACGATGCTGTTGGAGGCGATGACGGCGCATCCCGCCGCGATGCAAACGTCGCCGGCGTGGTACGCRACCGGGCAGCGCACGCAGCGCATCATCTTCCCTGGCAAAGCACAGCACTCACACGTTATTTTGGGACAAAACTGACTTGCAGTGAAGAACAACAGTGCTGTGATACTTGGGAACAAAACTGGCTTTTTATTTCAGCCAAAAAAAGGGTAGTGCTGAGACACCCTATATACATGCACAAAACCTCAGCCATTATGTTTTTAATGCTTGCATATGTGAGACAACACTGAATTAATAAATGTTTTTAGAGAACACTACGCCCGGTTTAAAGCACTCTAAGACTTTAATTATGCACACCCAGGGTAGACCAGCTCTTCCTCAGTCATGTAATTTTTGTCTGCAAATATTGCCCAAAGCTAAAATCCTGCACAGGATCAAACATTGCTACATTCATCGAGCCTTGCTGCAGTGTTTGTACATTCTCATGTTCTGCCCTCACTGCTTGGCCTCTCTCCTCATCATCTATGCATTCTATATTTCATTCTCTCTTAAGAAGAAAATATGGTTAACTATGGATAACTGAAGCACTAAAAAAAGAGCACAACCAAAGTAAATAATGAAGTTGACTAAAAATTATTCTATTACTATTTTTTAAAGTTTCAGAATCAACTGATAGTCCATTTATACCTAACAAAAACTACAGCTAGCAGCTCTGAAATAGACACATTCCTTACCTTAATATGCCATAAATAAAAATAATGAATCAGTCATAAAAATGAAAAACTACCTTTTGAAATTCGTGGATGTGAGGGGTTACTAACATGACAACTGAGGCAGCTGTGGAGAGGACATCGAAACCCCCTGTTCTCAAAGACAGTGAGATGAAATTTTTTCACACAAGCTTCGTGGTAGAATTTTCCACAGTGAGACACAACACAGCGTTTCACATCTGCCTTTCTCTCCTTACACACGAAACAGGTGTGCACACCTGGTGGTAAAATAATAAACAGAATGAAACTAATTTTTCATCCAAACACATGAATTTAAAATGCTTCTCTTGTGCCTTTATGGTATGCATGAGGGAGGGGTTTTTCTTCAACAAATCAAATTGTATTTCTTGATGCAGCTATCTTATTTACTTTAGCTCTTTAGCACTAAACACTGATCTGCTCAGATGCAGATAAAGTTACAGTGCAAACCCATTGCAGTTGAAGTACACACAATACCCAAAGTCTCACCAATCTGATTTTATGTTCTTATTGATAAGCCTCAGTATGTCAGAAAAATGGTGRATTTTTATTTTTTAAATGTTTTTTAAACCAGTGAAATAGGATGATGGGTCGTCTGTGGTTCTGTGACATTTGAAGCAGGACCACAAACCAAAGATAAGTGTCATCTAATTTTTTCTCTGGACTAGTTGGAACAGCTTCATTTTGAAGCAGCAGTTCCAACAAGGTTTATTGCATGACATGAGCTTATGAGCAAGAACACAAATCTAATGCAAAGTTTGGAGATTAAGAACTTCCAAGCAGTTATTACASGATTAAAAGCAAATGAAATTAAGAGCAATAAGGTACTCTTTTATCAGAAAAAGCAGAAGATGGATATAGGCACACAAAGTACTGAAAAAGGACTTAAAACGTTTCACTTGCTGCTTTTTTCTAGGATTTCTTAAGCYTTTGTGACAGACTTTAAATCTCATCTGTAACTGTACAAAGAGAGCAAAGCTACTAATTCTGATTAAATTAGACAAGTTGCAAGAGAGTTCTCACTGAACTTTCTAAAACATGGCACACTTAGTGGTACTCTATGAACTCCCACCCTGTCAGGTCCCAAAGGATAAAGAAGGGTTCTCTGAGGATACATATTTTCTCCAGAAGGATGTCCTAGAACAATATATGGGAAAACTATACTTTTTTTAAATTAATAGAAAGGGTCAAACTTGCCTGAWGTACATTCACTACAAATGAATTTTCCTGCTGGTCTTCCAGAGAGCCCAAGGCAGCTTACATGAAAAGCTCGATAGCAAAGTCCTTCACACAGTAGGAGATCACCTGTTTTTTCACACAGCTTTTACAACACAAAGGCATTGAATGTTAAAGGAAAGTTCATATGCAGAAAAAACCTGTTTTCTTTATTCCTTTTAATACAATGCTCCTCAAAACATTTTTTCCCATTGTTGAAATAAAATTTAACAAGTGCAAGATAATTTGCAAGCATCATCACATGCCCTGGCTACAAGTTGAAACAGGTAACAGAATGATTAAACCACTAGAAATATCACTCTCACACCATGGTAAAGGAAAAAAAAAAAAAAAAAAAAAAAAAAAAAAAAAAAAGGAACAGAAAAAAGAAAGCTTTAAGAAATATTTTCTGAGCACACTGATGCATCTGAGTAGGGTTAAAAAGCATCCTTACCCTCCTTTTCCTTGACAAAAGGAAATCAATCTAGTTGACACAATGATACTTCTGAGTGATTAGCAATGACACATGCATAACTAAAAATGAACCAAACCACAGTGCTGGCAGAATTTAAGGATTATCCAACATTTTATAGATAGATACAACCTCATCATCACTATGTACAAAAAACAGAAATGTAACTGCTTGCCTAGTCTCATGAAAAGAAATTCGATCTGTCTACTTGGACTGTGTTATCATTTCATAGCCTAAGAACCCTTCTAGAACAGTTTGAGAAAGGCTTTTGCTTTCAGCCACACCCTGCCCACACACCACGGCAGAGCACTGCTGCCATCGCTGCTGCATGCAGAGCACAAACCCTGCTGGGCTGGACTTCCTCCCCTGTGCTAACAGAGAAAGCAGCATCTCTTCTGCATCATCTAACCAGTCACCTGGCAACACTCATCTGCTTCTTCTGAGGTACAAATTATGCTTATCTTACAGACCTGGAAACTCCATTAGAAAGGCTAAGTTACTTACTGGAGGTCAAGAAAAAAATAATTAGGTATTAAGAATTCCATTTACTGCCATGGCAACCTCATTGCTAACAGACTTCTCAGTCACACGTGATAAACCTGTTTCTAGTAATACTAATTTGTCATTTTCATAATTAGAAAAAACCTTTCCTGGGAAAGCTCAGGAAATAYAGCCCAGCTAACGTCTCTCACCTGACACACATATTCTTTTTTTGTTCCTGCTCCTCGCTCAGATTTTTTGGATGATATAGAAACTTCAGTCTGAGTTTCATCAGCACTTTCATAGGGGGATTCTGAGCGCTCATCTCCTTGGCCATCAGAGATCTGAAGATTAAACACAGGTGTTAGAGAAAGCAGCTAAAGATGGTCAGTTCTGCACAGAATAAGATCTGATGGAAGCAAACAGACTGCAATTCAGATTAGCAGATTTAGGCACACTCTTCTGGTTTTGTTTCCCCCACCTTCAAAACCACCACCTTGATTAAAATCAGAATACACATTTGTGGAAGACTCACACAAAGGACTATGCAATAATCCCCCTCCCCAGCAACTCAAYGGCAGCCAAAACAGAACACCAAAACTTTGTAATATGGCATTTTATTTATATTTAGTTCTGTAATACAGTTAGCAAGAAGTGCCTAGCCATAACATAGGCATATCTTCAAATCYCTTAATTGAAATCTGAACATGTGGTTTGTGAGACAGCAACAGTTAATTTTAAAAAAGAAACTTGGTAAACTTCAAGCTGCATATAAAAGTCTCTGACCCAAATATTTTCCAAGGAAGTGTGAACAGCATATAGAAGAGAGGAAGAAAAGAACAAGCAGCTCTCAATATGTTTAWGGAACATTACAGTCAACAATGAATACAAAATACTACAGAAGTATCCCCATTATCCCTGTTATGGATAAACCTTATATAACAGATCTAGATGTAATAAATATAGAGTGTTTTTAAAAATAGTCATAATTTCCTTTAAAAAAACCCATCCTAAATAATATACTTAAAAGAAAATACAGGTTACTTTTCAGTTCAGTAGAATTTCAGGAGGACCAAGTCATTTGTCTCATCTCACATTACACCAAAAGAGGCAAAATTTCATGCTGTTGCCCCCAGATGGTACCCAGTGAGTTGTGCCTCACTAAGTACATTCTCTAGGAGAGCATCACAATTTGGAATTGCAAAAAGAACCCGTTACTTCTCTTTGAACTTGTTCTAATGGTTATTCACACATACCATCACAGGTACTGCCTCCTGCCCCTTTTGGGTTGTCTAACTGCAATTCACAGTTGATGATGCTTTCTCCAGGCATTTCAGCTATATTAAAAGTCCCTTGGAAGCAGACATTTTCCTCCTGTGGAAGCATGCTGCAATTAAGCCTGTTTCAATCCTTTTTGTTCCGCCCTCTAATTTTCTCCCTAGGGTACTTTTTGCAGCATCTAGAGCATTTTAGTAGGGCTTCTCTAAACCTTTTCTGTGCTCTAAAAGGTTGTTGAAAAATCAAGCATRAGAACTGGAGGCAATAACCCATTACAAGTCTCCTAAGCACCGTATCCAAAGCAAGCCAATAGGATACTACCCTTCTCCACTTCTGCTGCATGAGAATCTCCCCAAGTCTCTTCAATACAGCACTGAAAGTCACTCTAAATTGTGTGCTACTCAAGAGATCATTTTGCCAATAGCCATTTGTCAGAATACAGACACACCACTTTATATGAAGAATTTACTTTCTGTTTTCAGAAACRGAATCTTGTATTTATCTACAGTAAAGTACCTTTTTCTAAAAATGACCCAGCCACATGCTGGAGACAGCTACATGCAACCTCCCTATCAACCAATCCATGTAATGTGCAAAGGTGATTTATTTTGCAATCAGAAAGAAAAATGTAAGACCAAACCAGGYCTAGATTTAGTCTTTATAAAATCCYTTTAGAAACACTGGTTTTGAGTGATTACGCCTCACTGCTGCTGCCAGCTAACTTGCATTCCTCCATTTAACATTTGCCTTCCTTGATCATGTCTAAAAATATTTTATAAATTGGATCAGACTAACAGGTGTTGGTTGGTGGGTATTTTTCCCCGCATTATTTGTAAATTCATTTCCTCTGTGCAAATAAATACTATCAAAGTGATTCATACCTACACTTCACCTACGAGCATTTCTACAATAGGAGTGATCTGGAGATTCTGCCCAGTCATTTCAGAAGAGGTTAAAAGAARCTGCACGTAAAATCATTGCTTTGTTCAGGCACCAGGAAATCTCTGTKCCCTGGAAGGAGCAGTGAAATAGTAAACTGAAAATGCAACCTGAGTGCAAGGCCAGGAGCAGCCAGTTCTTGCTGGGAAGGGGCAGATAAAGGAAGACAGTATGGGAGCACGGCAAAAACACAAACCCAGTTTCCTTTATGGTTTCAGTAAACTCACACACATGCTCATTTCTGTTAAACTATTCCCACAGAAACATTAATTAGTATAAGCAGTGCACTGCTCTAACATTTTTAGTACCTCATTATGTTCTTGTTTAAACTACCCAGAATTAGTCATGGTTAGAAAAGAAAAAAGGAAAAATAAGCTGTAATGACTTAGTTCTGTATTTTTTTTTCTACTAAAGAGCAAAACAGAACAAAACCAAGCAAAGCAAAACAAGCAGTCTTGCTGTAACCTGACACCAGGTTTCCCACCTTTTCCCCACACCACAAAACACCTAAATCCTGAGAAAACCCATTTGTGCAGCACCCTTTGAGTTAATAGAGTCTTCCCAGCAGCACAAGCCATAGAGCCTTGCCCGAGGAAGGCACTCCTCTTCCCCCAGCTCACTGCTTTTGAAGGCAGAGCAGAGAAACAGAACATATCCAGAGACAAACATATTCAGTCAAGAGAATGAGTCAAAGCAATGTTTCCCAAGACTTTCCTTGGTTTATATACTCTGCTCCAAGGAAGGATGCAGACGTTCACACATAACAGAATCCTATTGGCAGAAGGCATTTTTTCAGAATCCCCCTAGATAGGGGTGACAAAACCCCAGCCATTTGTGAACCTCAGGCTGACATCAATTTTCCTACAGAAYGGAATTTTACTGCCTCAGAATTAAWRCACTAGSCCTTTATTTMAAGGTTACTGAGCCAAAAAAAGGAGCAGTGCTGGCAAGAATCARACCTGACATCACAACTGCAACCACACAAGCCAAATTCTATCAGCCCCATCAAGATGAAACGTGACAATTTACACCCACCTATAGATTATTGCCAGGTTTCAAGCACAAACAGCAACACATAAAGCACAAACAAAATACCCTCGGTTCACCAACCCAGTGGCTACCAGGCAGAGAGTATCTTTCAAAATCTCTCCTTTACAGCTGTCAGGAGCCTCACACACTTTACAAATCAAATGCTCTATAACCACCAGTTTTGTATTACACAGAAAGACTGGATACCTGCTCGTGGCTGTCTCAGTTCCTAAGAGAAGCTACATTCACAAGCAGCTRTGATACACTGCTCTGGCCTGGTGCAGGCTGCAGAACACACCTTTGCATCCCTGCCACCATGACCAAGGGTTTAACCATCATATCCAACAGCCACAATTCATGCACAGCTCACACACACTTCACTAGCATACTAGATTTCCTATCTTAGGGCCCTAATAAAGGGAGGGCTAGCGGGTTATCTGCTGTAAGAAAGGGAATTATTTCTTTTGGATAATTTAATTTAACCCTTGTTTGTATCTTGCAGGTGAAACCCTCTACCAGACATCTTTGGGAAAAGTTYCCTCTATGAAGAGAGCTGGAATTCAACACCTCAGCTCCTGAAGTTTTCCCAGAATAGCCAAAGGAAATATCAGGGAAATAAAAGAGCATCTGTTTCTTCAGGCCTGCAGAGAAGAGGCYGAGACAACACTTCATCCACTGTTTCTCAGAGAGGGTTTAGAATCTAAGAGAGAAACAGCATGAGGTGGTTGGGAAAACTGTATTTGTACCCCAAGCAAGCTGTAGGAGCACTAACAGGTTCTGATTCACCCAGGGGACACYGAGTTTTGCAATTAAATTACACGTAGATTGAAACAGTCACTAGGTAAAGATGATTTACAAGAAGATTGCTAGAAATCAGTTCATTTCTGATGTGACACAGCTACCTCTGCAATGAGACATAAAACTTCTGTGGCTGGTTAACACTACTTCCCACATCATGGAAGGTCTAACAGTTCACATAACAAAGCCCAAATCACAGCCTTCAATTCAAATCTGGACAAATTTCAGGGGGCTTTTTACTTGACTTGTTAAGTTACAAATGTAAATCTTTCCCTTGTAATCATGCCAGAGCTTGTCTTGTCCTTATTTTTGTAATATAATCCTCCTAGCAAAGGAAATTGTATMTATAATTAACTCTTCTGATATTCAGGCCAAAGGTTCAAAGTAATCAACATTTAGATTAGTGGTAAAATGTGTTAATTAGCAATTTGTAGCTATTTTATTCTGCTGTACATTTGGAGTAATTTATTATTTCTTGTGAAGGCAAAGGACTGTTTTAAAGATAGTAAATTTAGAGGAAAAAAAAGCCAAAACTGTTTACTTCATATTTTTAGCAAGTGCCAAGTTTCTGCACTGAAATTGCACCTGAATTCTATCCTCATCGCCACTTCTGGTTAGCAATTCCTGCTGCTGTGACATAGAAGACACCTTTCCTCTGCTAAGGAAGGATCACTGCAAGCACCATCAGTCTTCACATACTGCACAGCAGTCAGGCTTTCCTTTCGACTTCCTTCAATCATTTAATATTGACATTATTCTGTGAGGACTYGCCTGTAGAGGCTTTCACACTTCACTGCCTGAACACTGAGCAAGGGTGGTGTTTTCAGAAATCAAACACAGCCCTTTCTACAGGAAACTGTGCACCTGCATACACAACTGAGAGAAAAGGAAGGAAACAGTCTACAAACCAATTCATGCTATTCGTATGGGGCAGGCCAGAACTTACTTTGGGGATTAGTGAGGTTTTGAATACAATTACCACTCACAGAACTGACCAGTTTCCTGTCAGGCTTCCCAGGCAATCCTCCCTTTCCCATGTGTCTCAGTCATTATTCACTACTTACAGCCAGAAGACTCAAAAGGGAACATGTAGGGACAATAATTGCATTATTACAAGTTCTCCATAGCTTCACTATTGAAAAAATACTKCACTACTGAGTCAGACTGGGACAAAATTTTGGCATCTCTGTGTATTCTTTGTGTTTAGTATTGTATTTTTGTCCTTGAAAAGACAGAAACTGCAGCATTGGGTTATTAAAGAATTGGGTTTACTCATCTCAAGAATGAGCATGTATTTTAT